AAATTCGAAAAACTCGAGGGTATTCCGAAATTATTGTACGAAGATCTCCATAATCCTATTATGAGTATCCCATGCATTGTCACCAGCATGGTTGGCAGGAAAATCACGAAGGTTGATGTGACAACTGCCTGCAACATCATCGCTGATGTTATTGAAATTCTAAAGGCCCTTCATAAATACGGGTACATACATAACGATATTCATCCTGGGAATATCGTAAATATTAACGATAAATACCGGTTAATAGACTTTGGCTTCGCCGTTCCGCTTCCCAAGAAAAGAGATAATGTTCCCAGTAGTTGGCCAGAAGGCCATATCATATTCGCTTCTCATAATAGAGGTAAGTGTCTCGGAGCTGGAGACGACTTGGAAGCCCTCTGTTATACAATTGCATTTATGTACAATTCGAACAATGCATATTGGCACATTGTTACCGAGGATCCATACCAGGCCATTCGTATGAAGGAAAGAAAACTCACTTATCTGTTTGATGGGCTTCCGCCAGTATTTCGAGACTTTTTTGACTATGTCTACGATCTTGACATCACGGTGATACCGGACTACGAATATTGGCAGGGTTTATTCCTAGAGACTATGGAAACTTGGTGTTCTCGACCAAAAAAACACCTTCCAGAAACATCACTAGGAAGTTCTAATCATAACCTTGAGTCTGAACGTTGTATACGACGTCGAATTGAACAACAGGCCTGGTGAGAAGCAGTTCTAACTGACCTCACAATCAATAGAATCCCTGTTGTCATTGCTTTAGAAGTAAATTCTGCTTACTCAAATTTTGTCTTATAAATCTGCATACTAATGCAAATAAAATAGAACTTGCATCAATCACATGTAAAATACTACACGTTTAGCAATAAAGGATAATATGTTCTGGCGATTTTTGTCCATAATCATGAAACTTGATTACTGTTATTACTGTTTCTAATTTTATTCCAAAAGAATAAATAATAAGCTTTCTATTTTCGACCAGAAATCTAACCAGTCAAACAGGTTTAATGGATTTACCGTTAAAATTATTATATAGGATTACCCGTATATGAAAAATTCTATTTATAACAGTTCCATCGAATATGAAAAAGCAATGCGTTTCTTGGAAATAGGTTGCAAATGTGATTGCTCAAAAATAATTCCGAGAGAAAAATTTGCTGAATTACGTGAAGCGTTTCAAGCTCTCTCTAGATCTGAACAAGATATATTTTTAATGGCCCAGTTGAATGCAATGAATGGTGGAGAAATAACCGCCAGCCGACGTCTTAAAAAGAAAACGCGTACTAATAAGCGAACGTTTTACTACTGAGATCGCAATACGCCACTTTGTCAGAAAATGTATCTCAATATGTTGGGAATTGGTCGCACTCACTTCGAAAATGTCAGAAATCATCTGTCAACAAATGGTATAATACCACGTGTTCATGGTAATGTAAAAAATGTGCCGCGATGGAAAACCAAAATAACCATTGATATAGCCGTTGCTACTGCTGTGAAGAACTTTCTCGAAAACTATGCTGAAATTCAAGGACTACCAAGTCCTGGTAGAAATGTTAATCGTATTACTCAATCGCTTACATTATTGCCAGCCGAAACGAGTTATAAATCA